TCTCAATTTAATACCAAAACAAAAAGATCTTATCAGGTGGGTCTAAAACGCTTGAGGTGGTTTGCAGTTAAGTGCCTATCAGTATTTGTTAACGTTTTATGTCTGATGTGAATATTTTATGAGATATATTGGAAAATAATTGACAAAAAATAATTAAATATTGATTAAAGGATTGAATTGAGAATTGTATGAAACATTTAGAACCTAATTGATGGATATTGATATGCCTAAAATAAAATGCAAAAACAATGATTTTCTTGCTAAGTTTTACATTAAGGTTTTTTTTTATTTGAAAAATAGTTTTTTTTGAAAAGTAAATTTTAAAAAAGTAAATTTTAAAAAAATAAATTATTTTTTTATATTTAATAGTATAATGAAAAATAAATTGAAAAATACTTTTCAGTATTTAATTGTATCATGAAAAATAAGCTGGAAAATAACTTATTAATATTTTATTTTATTTTAATTTATTAAAATAATAAGGAACAAATCTTATAAATTAAAAAGTTAAATGAGAATAAAATTGAATAAAATATAGTTTCATAAATTATCTCAAATAAAATAAATAATAATCAAAACAATAGAGTTCAAATCCAATAAATAAAAAAAATTGAAAGATAAAGAAATTAAAATAATAATAATAATAATTATTTCATAAATTATTTCAAATAAAATAAGTAAGAATCAAAAGAATGAGGATAAAATTTAATAAATAAAAAATTTCAACTAAAAAATAATAAGGGAAAAAAATAACAATTATAAAAATAAAGACAAAAGTTAATATAAAAATTAAATTCTAAGGGATTAAATTGAAAAACAAATATTCAAAATAAAAAATATATAACAATTAAAAGTTCGAGGACCAAATTTAACATGACATTTCTAAATTTTTCATAATTTTCAAAAAATATTTTCCGTTTTTTAACTGAAAAGTGTTTTTTATTGGTTATTTTTTTAATAACAAATAAACACAAAAAACATTTAAAAACTAATTTTTAAAAAATTACTTTTCATTAAACAAACTAGGCCTAAGGTAATTATTTGCTTGTGCTGATGTAGTGTTTCAACTCTAATTTTGTTGAACAGAGTTGAGATAAAATTCACCTTCATTGATTTTAGAATTATCTTTTTTCTTCTTTTTTTTTTTACAGAAATACTGATTCTGATTACATAATACTGCATGTTAACATCTATTTACAGGTTATGTTTGGTTTGGTTTGTATCCTGGGCCAGAATGGATAGATACAGAAATGACATAAATGTTTTTTTTTTGTTAAAAAACAGAAATATAAAATAAATCTATGATAATAGTTTTTTTAAATGAATTTGTATACTTTTAAAATAAAAGAAATACATATCTCCGCCTCAACACAGTAACCAAATGCTATATAGCATGAATTGGTTATGATTCAATTCCTCCCGATTTTCCAGTTTTTAAACTGAAATGGGAATAGCGGATGGATGATCAACATCCCAATTCCCAAACATCTCAATACCGAAATGGACTCGTAGAGGAAAGTTGGGACCTAAAAATTGTTACAGTACAAGGTGGAGGAGCAATTCATCATGTTGTGCGAGACATTATGGTAGATTAGGATTTCAATTTTGAATATTTCCTGTGTAAGTTACACCTATCATACCATTACCTGTTGCCTTGTCTGTCCATAGCAGGATGGTCAATCAATCTGCATCAATGAATTTCATAATTGCCTGTAAATGACCTTACATTACATCAGGTTTCTTAGTTTGGCAAACTCCCCCCTCAACAGTTCGTCTTGGAAAGTGATCGGATATTTGAGCATTTTAAAACTACAGGCAATGGTTAGGAGAGCTCATTGACCTGAATCAGTACTACACATTAATCGCATGGAGCGTGTAAATTCGGTGGCCCTCCAACTTTTGCAGGACAATGGAAGACAATGAAATGTACAGTGAAGAAACCCCCACTACTGGTCATCGGTAGCTATTTCGTTCAACGTTGGCAGGAAAATGGCAAACCTCTGTTGCCCAACGCCTAATTCATCTAACACAAGATCAGATAACGGAAGGTTGAATTAAAAGATAAGCATGGCAAAACCATATGCTATTGGTCATGAATTGTGACAGATTTTTGATGATGAGGATTGATTTCTGGCTGGTTTATATCGCAAGCTGAAAGATATGCTAGAAGTCAAGCATCAAAAGACAGGTTGCTCACACATGCAATTATCAAGCACTCGCTTCATTATCTAACAAATTTGGAACAATATAAATTCATACATATTGGTATAGGGATTAAACTAACAAATGATTCTCTATCGATCAAATTTCACAAAAAAGAAACAGCAGATATATTTCTAACCAGAGAAAGAATAACTGCATGAACATCAAAAAACCTTTTTTTAGTAATGGCAGATACCATCTTAATTGAATGAACATAAAAGGGAACCTTTCAGACTGTCAAGGAAAGGCGAAGTTCTATTTGAAACACCCTTCATAAAGCGTGAACCAAAGAAATAAGAAGAAAACCTAATTCTCAAGTATTAACCAGCTTCAAAATATATTCTGCCACCAATCCATTTATGTTTAATAAGCATTTGTAACTCCTTTTTTTCATGCCTAAACCATGAAACAACTGGCCTTAAAATGCATGTACAAAAATACCAGCACTAGCGGGTTGGAGCAGGGGGAGCAACACTACTACCCAATCCCATCTTCTGTCCCAACACTGTAAGCTGCTCAACAAACTCCATTCCTGTGAGAATCTCTGTTGTTCCATATATAACATGCTTGACAGGCTGCTGACGCTGTGCAAATTCTTGCAAGCTGCCATACTCCATATAATTACCACCACCAATCATAAACACTATAGCTTCTTTAAATGGCCCTTTCAGATGGCTGCTACTGGTACCAGAACCTGACTTAGGAGCACGTGGATCAAACACAAGGTAAGAATCAACTTCAGGATTTGGCTTCCCCTCCATCAAAGCTTCCACAGTCCTCGTTAATGCCAGCTGTCTATCACTAGATAATAAATTCTTCACGCCAGCTGTCACAGCACTAATTGACTGCCCATAAAGTTTTTCAGCCCAATCAACAATGTTACTTCGACTGGCAGAATTTGCTGATGCCAATGAAACATTCAAGGACTTCATTTTCTTCACGTACTGGAATGCACAATTATCAACCTCAGACTCCCTAAGAGCAGTTTCAATTGCTTCCACTTCTGATTGATTAATACTTTCAGAACATATAAGGTAAATGATAGCAAATCTAAGTTTATCCATCTTGGTTCCTTTCCCTCTAAGCACACCCAAAAGTTCATTCCGATCAATCCCTCCTCTGACCATCATGTCATTCTCTTTTTTCGCATAGGAATCAAGAGACCTCTCCTTGATCTCACCCAACAAAACAGTTGCAATGTTTGTGTGTTTATCAATCACCTGCTTCCGTTCCGTCAGTTCAGGCAGGGAGTTCACAGCATTCATCAAATGCTTTGTGTTCCCGACCAAATCTGTCCCGTCAAATTCAGCCCCATCAGTTCCTCCAGTCCTTCTATTCACTTCATCAACATCCTTCTTATACTTGTTCAACTGAGTCTCAATTTCCACTGCAACTTCAGGAAACTCTAGAGACCCATTTGCCACCCAAAATGGATCAGAACTGTCCAACTCATATGACCTCATCCCACCCTTTTCCCCTTGCACGCTCAACCTATTAAGCCTCAAGCCAAGAACATCGTGAACAAGAGGACGATACCTAAAATCATGCTGTATTCCCACTGACAATTCAAAATTCCGATCAAATAGACACAAAACTGGCCTCTGAAAAGAACTCGCAAAACCCCCACCTTCTGTAAACAAATTGTTCTTCGACAATAAATGATCCCTCAACTTCTGATCCAGCACCGATGCCACCATCTCTGCAGGGCCACCACGCGGACACCTAATAACTGGCACAACCGCAAGTGTTGCCAACACACAAAATAACCCACTAGCAACCTTCTCAACAATCTCCTCAATCTCTCTATCACCAGCAGACGGATCATTCAACTGAACATAGCAAGACTTCTGTGCCAACGAAAACAAATTATTCTCCAAAGTCACAAACTCCAAATACTGATCATGCACCTTTGAAATCTTTTCTATAGACTCTGAATTCAATGTCCCAGATGCAAGATCCTCAAGAAGTGGACGAGGAATGGACGACGAAAAATTCAGGTGGAAGCTATCATAAAGCGATTGCGACGCATCAGCAACAATCCTCTGAACATTAACTTGACTTGGCTGAACAAAGTACACAGCAGGGACATCATGGACAGGCTTTCGATCCTTATCAATAAGGAAATAAAGAGTAACCCCATGTTTTCTCAGATCCTTGACATGAATCAATGGAGATAGTATATTTTGACAAAACTTATCATAGATCAAGATCTTGTAAACCTCTTCATTAGTAGTACCAGTTGCATTCAAAGGTTGGTTCAGATTTAGCATCCGGATTATACATTCTGTACCCAAAAAAAAAACAAATTTCAAAACTCTTCTCAATAAACACATCAAATTTAACAAAAGGAAAGAGTTTTAACGGTTATTTGGGCTTAAATCTAAGTAATAACAAATGGGTTGTTGCTTAATTCTAAAAGAGATCTAGACAGAGAAAGAAAAGGAGAGAAAAGGCACTGACCTGTTTGTTTTTGACGCAGATTGAGAGCCATAACAGTAGGGGGAAAAAGTTCTTAATTCGTGAAATTTCGGAGAGCAGATTTGTTACTCTGTACTCTCTTCAATTTATCTCTTCATTGCCAGCTTCTCTCTGTCAAGAATGGAGAGAACAGGGGTTTGATTATATATAGTTGGTTCCGCGAGTTCGGGTTCATTATAGTGATGTTTTGATTATCCAATAGAGTTGTACCACGTCATATGTTTGGAACTCATTTTATTGATGTCGTTGTTGACTCTTACTTGTCTTGACAAATGAGTGACTGCCACGTCAGTCATACGGAGCCATAAATGCGTGGTTATCTTGCTGGTTTTTAGAAACAGGCAAATGAAGTGGGGTTTTGAGAGGGAAGTAGAGGAGAATTTGGCTTATGGTAAAAGCATTCCTAATGAAAAGGGTCTCATTGTTTCCTTTATTGTATTACTACATATCTTTTTAAGATTTTGTGCTTGTTCATTAGCCAGTTGGTGATTTTTTATAAGGAAAATGGGATCAAGGAAGACTATCAATTAGCTGATGAAGGTGTTATTCAGGCACAATTGGCTGGAGAATTGTTCCTTAAGGTATGTGTTTCAGTGTAAAGATTGCATTTCTCAAAAAGCTTCAATTTTTCATGTTTATCCTTTTAATCTGCATTCAATTTTCCCTCGCATCGTGTTTTCACAGGCTAGATGTTTATTAGGGTTTAGACTACTTTTGCGGGTGTCGCTGATTATCATAATTCACAAAATAAAGGGCAGTTCTGATTATAGTTTGAAAAGAAAATGTGACGCCTTTTTCAGACTGGTCTTTGAATTCCTGGACTTGGAGGGGTTTAGGATGTTATTATCTGTGACTCGAGGTTTTTCATTTCATAAGCAGCAGAACTTGGAAGGCTCATAATTTATATTTGTTTTATTGAAGTCAAGGTTTCTGATAATTTGAATAATCGAAACTGTTGAAGATGACAACCTTGGGGGGAGAAGGAAGGTTTGAATTAATTGAGCTTTTAAAAAAAAAAAAAAAAACACGGGTTAATGTCAGTTGATGGTTCCTGTTAAAGTGCAAAAGTAAGGTTAGAGCCTTGCCGAGTGCTCACATTACCAGCAAAATTATGCACTTAAACTTTCTTTCTGTCCATGTTTGAGCACTATCCAAAACTTCTGCAAGCATTATTATGTCTATATACCATAAGATAAGACTGGTCGTTCTTTTAGACATGGATAGCTAACTAATTTAAGCAAAGTGTCTGCTCAAATCTATGGCCATCCTTCATGATTTCGTTAGAGAAAACACCAAAAAATGAGCCAGAAGAGTCTGAATAGTCTATCCTTTGCAAAATCCATCCTTTTCTACAGCCCCACTTACAAATAATAAGTTGTGCTTCTTGGCAACCAGTTGGAGTGAAAGCACATAAGGACAAAAAATAAGAAGTTTTGTGTGACTTGGAATTGACTAGAGAGCATGTGAAGTGATGAGAACATTGTTGTTTCCTATAGGAGTTTTGTTGGGAATATTATTTGCAAGGAAGAATTGTGCAGGCGTTAGCATTATGCATGTTAGGTAGAAATATTACTCAAGAATTATGCAAGAATGGAATGCATGAGAATATGGATGGTAATTTGATTTATGGCCTTGCTTTGTTGGAAGCATTTGTGGACGATATAGAGAACAAAAGCCAAAGATTTCTAGGATGCTGCTGCAGAGATAATTGACGCATGAGAGAGTTTGAGGAGAGAATCGGAGAAGCCAAAATAAAAGTTGCTGGATATAGTTACAGAGGATGGTTTGACAAAAGTTTCTGAATAAATAAGGAAAAGGCAGAGTAAAAGACTCAACCATTTGGCAATGAGAGTGTAGCCTTTGTGAAGGGAGCTGGCACTTGGCAGCATAAGGGCATATCATTTTATGTTTGGTATCAAACTTCTTATTTTATGCTTTTCTGAATTCATTTTGCCTGTGATATTAAGGTTGGCAGTACAAACAAGGAGACAGCTACAATTTCTAAGGGCTTGAAAGAATTCTTATCCCATAGTAATTGGCGTTCTTAATCTACTGTTGCTGATTTTTCCCTCCCTTGGCAAATTTAAGAATCTGGCTAACTGTATAGTTTGTGCAGGAATTGAAAGAGAGCAACATACCACATTAAAGTGTTCGCATCTGCTACTCTCCATCTGCAAGAACAAGTCACACTGCCAAAATTGGTGCATCTGTTTTGAATCTCCCATTTTAAGGCTCGCAATGTAAAGTGAGCTGTCTAAATCATATAACATTCTTGTTTTTTAGGGCATCTACTCACCTGCTGCACTTGTAGTGCTTGAAAAGTTTTCACATTCTCCTTAATGTGAAGTGAGTTGTCTAAAAATTGTGGTTGTAAGTATGAGTTAAGGTCAATGAGTTTTTTCTCCCCATTCTTCCTCGTGCTTATTATAAAGCACTATTGGGCAGATGATGGAAGATCTTCGATAACGGTATTTTGGTCCCTTATTTGAACTCTTTTTGCATGATAAGGTAACATATTCGTTGAGTTTATTTTAGATTTTTCCTTCCATAATTATGATCGATGAAGGGTCTTATGCATATGTATATGCCAAAGTTGAGGAATCGAGTTATAGAAAATTTCATTGCAGCGAGGCTTCAGTCTATAACACCCACCATCTCTCCCCGAGCAGGACAGCCCTTGCCATTAGCAATTGAAGCTTTTATTTTATTTTTTTCCTTTTCAATTGACAGTATCCAGAGATTATGGGAATTGGATGATAAAGATCTATTCATGCAACCGGAAGGTGGAGAAAGTGTTAATGATGTTGACTTGATGAGGCTCCAGATTCTAATATGCTAGAAAACTCGAGTTTTTTTATAGTTTGAATGATGGGTTGGAATGATGGATGGATGATCACGTATTCATATCAAGCTTCTCTTCTCATGGATTGTTTTTTTAGCATTCTTTTAATATTTTAAAAAATAAAATATAAATACTAAAACCTTAACTAAAACAAACAATTAAGTTTATAATCCAATAAATATAATATCCAACAATAACTAAATTAAACTCAATAAATAAATTTAAATAAAATTTAACATCACAAGAGTTAATCTATCCTACAAACATATAAACCATATCTCGGTATTGTTCCCCCGAATTTCGAGCCTCAATTTCTTGAAAGTCCTAATTTCTTGGAAGTCCTATATATGTTTCCTCATCATTCAATGCGGCGTTATCTTGCCTCTTCTTTAAATAATGTTTCCTCATCATTCAATGTGACGTTATCTTCAATGCTGACGATTCTTATGCATGCGATCAGAAGCGATGTGCAACGACGCGGTGGTGGTGGCTATGTCTGATTTAATTTAACATTGTTGGTGGACTGCCCTTGTGTAAGGGTGGTGCGGGTTTTATCCAAGTCAATACACGATTGTTCAAGGTTTTGTTTGATAACCGGTGGTGCGGGTTTTATCCAAGTCAATACACGATTGTTCAAGGTTTTGTTTGATAACCGGTGGTGCGGGTTTTATCCAAGTCAATACACGATTGTTCAAGGTTTTGTTTGATAACCGGTGGTGCGGGTTTTATCCAAGTCAATACACGATTGTTCAAGGTTTTGTTTGATAACCGGTGGTTAAGGTTTCGCTGACCGGCGTACTTGGCAACTTCATTGGTGGCGGAGTTGCATGCATGCGCAATAAACAATATGGCTACTGGGCTAAAAACTATCCTCAACTTGAGGCCAATTAAAAAAAATAGTCCTAACCTGTTAAGAAAATCAGTTTCCATTTTCAATATTGGAGGAGAGCCAATATCAACCTGCATCTTCTATCTTAGGAATGTGCGTTTGCGTTTTTTCTATCAATCTTGTCCTGTGCTAAAAGATATTTCTCATCTTTCTATGGCCAAATAAGCGGAACAGATTGTCAAGTGGAAATATTGATATGCATTAACACATTAATTTAACAAGCATCCATACAAGGCAATGCCTCAAGCATCCAAGTAGCTCGATTGCTGTATAGGTTTTCACGTACAACAATGGCTTTCTTTAAGCGTTTATACAACATTTCAATTTCAAAAACCAAATATGAGATACATGTCTAGCAAGCCCATGTGAAGGATCTTGCAGCTGATGAAAAGATTTCCTCAGATGAAAATTTGAGCCCCAACCTTCAGTCTCGTTGTCGAACAGTAAAATGCTCTCATGCATGTCAGCCAACAGCCATCTCATCGAAGAAAAATAATAGCTCGTGTGATTGGGATGCCAGTACAAGACATCTTTCTGAGTTTGTTAGGTCCAGTTGTTCTTCGATCCTTGATCTGATACCCCTGAATTTGTTTCCATAGAAAGAGATGAAAAAAGAAAGGACTCTAATCTTTAGTGACCCATCTACGACCTCTGATAAGATAGCTTTGATCGCTGCTACTTTCTCCTCCACTTTCTCCACTGGTATGTCCTGATGTCTCACGGTGGTGTTTCTTCCCCCTTGCTATCCCAGTGTCACTGATGCTCCCATTTAAAAGAGGGTCGTCAATTCCACGAATGACCCTCCTTGCGGGTGAAGCTGTTGCTATGCAACTATCATCCTTTGTTCTTCTCTTTTCCTTGTTGTGTTTCTTCATATTTTGAGAAATTTTATGCAATTTCTCGTTGAACTTTATAATCCCCTTTTCTACAGGCTCCACAGCTTGGTTTACGGTGAACTTCACATCATTCACAATCTGCATGGGAAGCCAACAGCTGATTCAGCAGTGGATAAATGTGATGTAATGACTCATGTGCTTCACCAAACTTAATTAACACAGTATGCATTGCCACATTTGAGTTTTACACTTGGTAATTATCATATTTTCCCATAGTGATTGCACAGCAATAATTTAATTGCAATGGTCAATTCCAAGTAGAAGCTAAATGGAAGAAACTTACAAATCCACCACCAACAACAACAACATCTTGGACACTTTCTTTTATAGTCATTCCACTCCTGACATCAATGTCAGGTTGAGGAAGGCGTAACTTTGTTGGCCGCTCACTGTCTCTAACCTCATCAGGATCTATAGGGCAATCAACAGATGCATAATCTCCAAGAACTGAAACACTTCCAGGAAACCGGTCTCCCATTAGCTCATAAGGCTTGGCAGGGAACACATAAAGATGAACAATAGAAGCAATGCCCATCTGTGCTGGATGAATACATAGACCTGTTAAACTTCAATATTTTGAATGAGAAAAGAGCAGTTATAAACTCTATTGAAGAGATCCAGACAGCAATGACTGTTGTATTCCCCGGGAATATTATAACAGTAGTTACAAGAAAACTTCACCAATCAAATTTGAACAGACATATATGTAGCACATTGCAGTAAAAGACACGGCCAACAATAGTCAGTAACTTCATTCAGAAACCCCCAGAACAGCAAAACAAAACAAATCGCCCCATAAAACATTCTATAAGGGTGTTTAAACAGACATAACAGTAACTATCAGTCTAACTCCACCATATAATGCAAAGTGATGTGTTCAGCATTTTAGATAGTTTAAGTCCATGAGAAATGACATCCTAGATATGCTACATGAGCAACCAAACAGTACATCCACTTAAGCAATCTTTTATTTTGTTTTTTCTCTTTACTGAAAAGATTTTAAATGAGTCTATTTTATTCAAAACCTCCCTCTCCCCATTACCACTAAAGCTAAAGCCCAAGGACACTGCATCTAACACTTTACCACACACCTTCCAAATTGTGAGATATACCGCTATTATCTCCTCTCTCCTCACTGCATCACCTTAAGTCAAAAAATTGACCCTTGACCTAAAGTTCATTATATCAGCAACATGCTATAGTTTCCTCTCTAGAGAATCAAATAGTTGAGATTTCCACTTCCCAGAATGCTTAAGTTTCTTCTATACCCATTCACATATAATAGAAGGCACACAAAGATGCAGGGGCATTTTATTGAAAAAACAAAATCTTGCTTCTCCTCTATCATATGAATTCCAACAATCTTGTAGAAATTACACAACTTTCACAATTACCTTGACATAAAATCTTGACTCGTCGAAAGAACCTAGTGGCATTTGGGTGGTTCAGAAATTTAAATTGCCCAAGACATTAACCTATTCATTTCACGATGGAAAAGACAGCTACTAGAACAGCAATAGATTATCTGACACCATCAAGAATGAAAATTATATATGTAGAATAGCAGGAGAGATGCATTGGTAATGGAAGATGTCTACCTCTATACAAATGATGAAGTCTTGAAGACTTGACTTAAATTGCAGACCTTGAGCTATAGAACTTTTGAATAAACCAAGAGAACAGAGCAGAGCAATTGCCACTCCTTGCCACCAGGTCAAAAATACAATTGATTTAAACGTCAGGAACTTGTACAAAGGTTTTATGTGAGCAAGTTCATCCTTTGTGGCAGTGTAAAATTGCACCAAACAGTACAATGCCCAAGATTGACTGAAATTTAGAATAACCGCTATGTAAGGATACCTACAAAACCAGGGAATGCTAAGGCACTTAGGAATTTGTATATGGAATGCTAAGGTAATTAGTATTTTTAACAAGAAAAATCCTTTAAAAGAATGTGCATATCAATTGGGCCAGTTTAGAAGTAAAAAACACACACACTTGCGTATACAACAAAGAGTCCACATAGATTGACCAATTTAAAGAATATACAGTTAAACTATGAACCAATGAGTAAATTGGCATAGGAAATTAATTCTTAACCTGTATCATTACCAAGAAAGCCTTTACAGGAAACAAACAGTTCAAGTTTCAAAGAAGAAAAAGAAACAATGGACCTCAAAAATGTAAGAATCAAGATCAGCTTTACCCGCATCTCAATTTAAAATCTCCTTCACAATATACACCAAAGGCTTCAAGAATTACAGCTAAAACTGCTGTCAAGGACTTTATTAACATCTGTCAATAAAGATACGAGTTATTAAGCTTTCCAATCTAAGAATGCTGGAATTGGAAAACGTAAAAGAGATGCAAAAAGACAAAACTTCCAAAAAATGAACATACATATTGAACAATACCGAACTTTACAACTTGGTAAAACCACTGACCAAGCCTCCATGGTTTAAGGATATAGTTCATAGGAAAAGGGTGCTTTATGGTTCCCCTTTCATGACTATGCTCTAAAAGGGGTGCCTTAGAACTTGAGTGACCTTCTCTGTTCAAAAACTCAATTGTTCTTTCTTCCCCACCTTTAAAAAGTAAATAAAAGAGAGAAACCATCAATAACAATGTCAACACCAGAAGATAAACAAAATTAAATCTGGAGAGTAATTAGAGAAAACAATAGAAAAATATCTCATCCCTATTTATGATTAAAAATAAAAAAAATAAACAAAGAAGATCTGCATGCCATGATGATAAACAATAATTGAAATTATCATGC